CTTCACTTCTGGGGGAAGTGGCCGGCCCAAACTTGACTCCACATTCAGCTCTTCTGATTTCAGGTTTGGAACCTCAGGTGGAGTCAGGATGACCTAGGAAAGGAGAGGACACAAGAGGATCACTGAGATACAGAACCTCTCTCCTGTAAGCCATTCAATGATTTCCCTGGTGGGGCCGGGGAGATAGCTCAGTAGAATAAGTGCTTGCTTGGCAAGTGTACCGGCTTGAGTTCAATCCCCAGCGCTGCAAAAAAAAAAAAAAAAAAAAAAAAAGATTTCCCTAGGAAGATGGGATTGGTTGTGAAAGCATGATTATCTACCAGGGAAGGTCCTCCAACAGGACATGGGGCTTCTAAGAAGTGGAACTTCCCCTGGGGCAGGCCTTCCTATGAAGAAGGGAACCTGGGGTGAAAAAATGAAAGGGAAAGGGCTGCTGATAATTAGCCTTATTCTAGAGAACAGTTGTCCTCAAAAATCCACTTTAAGGACCAATAGCATCGATTTGAAACATGGTAATAATGCAATTTTTTGCATCCCATCCTCAGATCCTCATAATCAGAAACTCTGGGAGGGGGTGGGTCCCAGAAATCTGGCTTAACAAAGCTACACTGGTGATTCTGATAAGCACTAAATGACGAGAACTAGTGCATTTAAATAATTACATTCAGGGCGTGTACTCCATGTTGGGTAACTATTAATTGTAGCACAATATTATTCTCCTTTTTCTTCTCAGGATTTCCATAGCTCTCTTTTCCAGCCCTTTCTAAAGGTGGCCTTCCACCACTATGGCCGTTAACAGGACTTGTCTCTTTGATCAGTCCTATACCTTGGTTTAGAATGTGTATCCCTATTCCTTACCCACTCTCACTGCAGCCCCACATTTGAGTACTTACCTGCAGAGGCAGGCCCGCCTCTTCTGCCTCTAGACAGGCCTCCAAGGGATTTGGACTGGTGCTCCTGCTCCCTGAAGGGGGAACTGCTGCTCCTGAAGGGGTGGTGATGGGGAGCACCGAGGCAGGCCGAGGATGAGGGGGTGGTTGTGGCTGTGTCTGTAGGGACTGGATGGTGAACGTGGAATAGAGGCCCGAGCGCATGTATTCATTACGGCTGCTGCGCGCCAAACTGCCTGGGCCTGCCATTCCTGCACCCTTGGGTGTGCCTGGCTTTCCGGAGGCAGTGTCCCCAGAGGCTGCATGTATAGCAGCAGGGGCCACATTTGCCACTGTGGAGGCTATAGACACCTCAGGTTGGGGTGGGCAGTCCTCTGTGGAGCACCGTGCAACCTCGGGGTAGGACACAAACTTGTAGACGAACTTCTGGCCACTCACCTTGCGGATGATATTCTGGGAAGGGAGAAGACAGAACCACAGGCCTTAGAGGAGAAGGGTAGGGTGGAAGGAGGGCATTGATGCATATTTCTCTTCTGGATATTTCTTCCTACTTGTTCTCATTTCACTCATCTGTTTCTCAGTTTGCAGGCGCCTCCTCTATTTTTCTGTCTATACTTTCTCCCAAGTTTTTCCCCTTTTCCTTTTTCCCTCTCCATAATTCCTTCTTTTGTATCACTTTTTACTTCCTAGCTTAAAGAACTACAGGGTAACAGAGTTGGTTCTTGGGACATAGTTTTGCTACTGCAATAAGACAGAAAAATGAAGTAACTGATCCAAATGTTGGCAGACTACATTAGTATAAATAAATGGAGTAACAAACTATTGATACAGAAAATCATTTAAAACTATTGACACAGACATGGAATAAAGCAAGGTCACTACAAATAACAGAGTGAAGCCTCATTAATACTGTTGTGAAAAGGGTAGGTCACAGAGCACACCTGGGGGTATTTGAGGATGTGCCTAGCCTGCAGGGTCTCAGCAACATACTGGTGGTCTCAGGGGGCAGAATGAGACAGCCTCATTATTAACACTGTGTTGAAGGTTTGAGCTAAAGGAGTAAACTATGAAAATGGAATATATACCATAAAGTGGTATAAATACAAATTATGTAAAATGGGTATAGGGCTGTTGGGGGGCAGCGAAATATAGGGGCACCAGGACATTGTGTGGCAGTCATAATGCTGGGCAGGTATGTCACAAGGTTGGCTTATATTTCTCAGAAGAACAATGAACAGGGATATTCATTAACATTGTTTTGGAGACTTCAGCCAAGGAAATATGATGAAATGAAGTGGTATAAATAATGGGTGGAAAGGACACCCAGTGCTGGTCTATGGGTCTGTGGAGGCAAGGCGAGGAAAATCTAAAATTTTAGCTGTAGGAATAAGATGAAAAAACAACTGATGTAAATGGTGGGGTGGACCAGCGCTGCTCTGGGAATTCCAGAGGATGGAGATAAGGGCTGGCATTATACATGTTGCCCCAGAGGCTTTAGCTAAAGGAGTAAGGGAAAAAAGGAAAATAACTGATCAAAAATATTGGGAGTTCCAGAGACTGAAATAAGGAAAGGCTAGGATAATACTGTCAGGATAGTTTTGAGTCTACAAATAAGATGAAACTGTCTGGAGTAAGAGATTATTACATAAGTGAGGGAGCCCAGCATTGGTCCACAGATTCCAGAGGACATGATGAGGACAGTCATTATCAACAGTGCTCTCAAAGTTTGGGCTATAAGAACAAAGCATAGGAAGGAGGGCATGGTGGGAAAGCACTATCTAGGGGATCTCAGAGAATAGAATGAGGAGCAGTCAGTATTACTATTGCTATAAAGCTTTTAGCCAAAGCAGTAGGAGAAGAAAATACAATAACTGACATAAATCTTTGGGGGGTCCAACATTGGTTTGCACATACTACAGGATAGGATAAAAAAAGTAAATTTTAATACTGCTTTCAACATTATAGGTATAGGAGTTAAGAGAAGAAAATGAAATTTTTTTTGTGTGGTGCTAGGGATTAAACCTAGGGCCTTGTACATGTTAGGCAAACACTCTAATACTACACCACAACCCTCATTCCTAAAAATGAGCTGGGAGTGGTGGTGCATGCCTGTAATCCCAGCACTCTAGAGGCTGAGGCAGGAGGATCACTGAGTTCAAGACCAGCCTGGGATACAAAGTGACACCCTGTCTCAACTCCCCACTCAAAACCCCCCCCAAAAAACCAACCCTCATAACCTAGTCAAGAAAGGAAAATTAATGATATAAATTTCACAGGTCCCAGGTCTGGTCTCAGAGGCCATACCTTGTCATAGTAGTATCGCAAAGCCCGGCTCAGCTTGTCATAATTCATGTTGGTCTTGTTCTTGCGCAGTCCCCACAGCCGGGCCACCTCCTCTG